TTCAATCGGTGAAACTCAAACACGAGGCAATATCCGTCTGAGAATCCCCCCTAGCAAAAACGTAAATATTTCGTCGGAAGATAGTGGTTCGATAAGCAAACAGAGCTTCCTTAACAGAATATTCCCATTGAGAGAGGAATCAGATTGGCCAGGAATCAATGTAGAGCAGAGAAACGCGGCGCGGCGGAAGGGTGGCTTTTAAAAGGAAATCGTGCGCTCTATGACCGGTATAATTTCTTTCTGTGCGCCTTATCGTTTTTCCAATATATGCTCCGCGGCAGATGCTACCGTTTTGCCGATAAGATGACCGTGCACGAGTATCGAGGAAAGAAATGAGGGATGAGAGATCGATCGGCGCGGCCGACTCTCGTCCTTTTGAAGAAGCCGCTGTTAACCTCGTGCATGCTCCTCCTCGAGCACGGCGATACGTTCTCATTCGAACGACAGTACGCTGCCAGTGGAAAAGGGGGCCAAAGGCGCTCTCTATCGCGGCGGGTGTTGCCATGACACCATGAAACCTCCACCCTGCTTCTAAATCTTTCTCCTGCCTTCTCTCTCACCTCTCGTCCCTCCCGAACCGGCCGTGCTCGTTGTTGCTCGCGTACACACAGCCGTGGGCAACTACAATTTCTTGCTTCAAATTTGCTGGAATCACTCGTGAAAAACAGGCGAGAGGCCGCTTCCATTCGCGATGCTTCTCGCGGTACTCTCCGACTCCCTATTTATTGGACCGGCACGCGTTCTCACGTCTGTTCTCCCGGCTTCGATTCATGCCCGTTCACCCAGGATTTTTCTACTCCGGCAGATCCATTTCGTCACCGTGCGCGCGTACAAGGGACGGCGACGAGCGGGGTCGAGTGTATCGCGATATCTCTACCCGCTTATTCCACAGCCTTTAGATACACGGTTTCAAAGTGGGTGCAGATTACACCGAATAATTACAAGTCGTTCGACTTGTAGGAAAAGTAGTAGTTTCATTAGCTCGGTATGGAATTTTGTATCTTCGTACTGGCCAATCGAACGAAAAGCGCGACAATGACCGACGAAAACGTAAATTTAGTTTAGTGGAGGTTATGGAAGGTTACGTGTTCAATTACTTATTGTTCAGAAAATTAATCAAATTACTATTTTGTTCAGAAACGTGCTAGTAATAACAGTAATAACAGTTGTTTAGCCGTTGTTTGCACTTTAAAATACTTCCTGCAAGAAAATCAACAAAGTTGATCACGTAATGAAATACTACTTCACGCTAAAAGTACAATCTTCTTCTCTCTGTACACCTACTACTCGAACAACGAACAATAGAAACTTCAGCTACGAATAGCGACAAAAATCGTTTATTTTCCGTACTTCGGTGCGCTACAATGAAGAGGAAATCTTCAATCTTACAGCCAGCGTATTTATTCATGGAAGATGCGAGAGCAGAAGGGGGGGGGGTGAGGGTGTTCGAAAGGAACAGCGGAAAAAAGGAGGAGAGTTTCAACGACGTAGGTAACTCAGTCCAGTCTCGTTCTCGCAAGGAAAAACGAGCATCGCGCATCAAATGTTATACGAGCGTTGCCGTCGCGAATTTTACCAGCGCTATTCCCGATTCCGCGCCATTACGCTCGCACAGCTTAAAGCCACGATGCAAAATCTCTTTTCTGGCAAGGACTTGCAACGTCCCTACCCATTCGAAAATGCAACCTGGCTCAGATCCAACAGCGTCCTGCTCTTTCTCCTTTAGTCCTTTTCCTCTTTGACGCCACCGCGTCTTCCGATGTCGTACGTCCTGCCTTTCTGCACATTTCGCAGTCACTCTGCTCCCTCCCTTCCCCCTGCCCCCATCCGCGGGGGCAACTTTCCCGCAGTGTGCACGTCCACGTGGATTTTTTTACCCTACTGTTCGTGCTCGCGATCAACCTGCGTTCAAGCCCACGGTCGTAACAAACGCTTCAATGGGAACGCTTTGAATGGTTAGATTCGCAGTTTTCGAGCACGTTGTACGAACATGCAGAGTAGGTTTAATTAACCGCGGTCCGGACTATTCGCCGTCTTGGTTCTCAATTGTCATTAGAAGGTAATTTCTGGAAATTTACAGAAATTCTTTCGTATAACCGGGATTCAATCGAATTCAATAATATGAAGTGACCGAAGAAACTACGAATGAAATATTACGTTAATGCACAATCTCGGTACTTAACAGTTGGAGTTAATCGAGGTCCTCATTGTCAATTATCTGGCATATCCGGATTCATAAACGCTGCCATTCATTTCCAAAGCATTCTGAGCAGTTATTGTTAAGAGTATATAATATCGTCTCGGTTGTTTCATCTCGGCAACTCGAGTTTCATCTCTGCGCGGGACGAACACGAGATGTCAACGAATTATAATTTTCGATTATCCGGCAGGGTGAGCCGCGACTCGTTCCAAGAACTACTTTACTCCCGACGAAGCCGTTTAATCGAACTCTCCTATATTACGGGACAGCGGTGGTCTTAATTTAATTTTTGCTCGAAAATAGCCTCGATCGATTTCCACTTTAACCCCCGACGAGAACGCTAAACGTCGAACTACCCCTCACGACTCCTGTAAATATCATAAAACTGTACCAAAGCTACATCAGATTCTTGCTTTATTTTCTTCTTTTTTTTTTTTTTCGGCTTCGAAAACGCTTCGAAAATCGCCGTGCAATTTTTCACCGAAGGCAAGCACACCAATCATCGCTTGCTAAAATGTTTGCCGACCGGTGTTTTATCCGGAGCAGCTGAAAAACAAGATTTCCGCCCCGATCGGTAATAAATTGCCGCGTAGCATGATCGATGCCGCGAAAGGGAGGGCCGTGATAGAGGAGAGTTAGCTTTTCCTCCTTATGAAAATTTACCGTTGTGTACGGCCGAATTTATCGGTGATTGAAATTTACAAGCTGGGCTGCGCGCGTGCCAGCCAGCTAGCCTTTTTCCGAGCGATAAATTTCTTGGACCTTATCCAGCCTCGCGTTCGTTCGTGTTTGTCTTGAGTTTGAACTTCTGCCGTCGGAAATGGGGTTTAAGTCGCCGGCCCTTGACTCGTCGTCTCCTTCTCGTGGGACGCGTCGCGCTTAATTAGCCAGCAGTGAGCTTCGAAATTATAATATCACTTTGATCGTCGCTAGTTACAGTCGAAACACACGGCGTCGGTAGGTAAACGCTCTCGTGAGGACGCGCAAACGAACACCACGCTTTTTCTCTCATTGTAGAATCAAGCTTCTTTTCGTCGACGAAGAAACAAGGCGCGGGGCCACGAACGAACGAACGAACGACACGCAGACAAAATACGAAACGAAACGAAACGAAACGAGTTCGTTGAAGGTTTCTCTCTATCGATTCCGCGGAGACAAAGACAGGTTGACTTGGTTAGTTAGAATTAACGTGGCGCGATACACGAGCCAGAGAAAGAAAGAGAAAGAGAGAGATACCCGAGGTAAATTGAAAATTTCAAAGGGAAGCAGCCCATGTTCCTTTTGTTAGTTCGTACAAGGCTGATAAGCGAGCGCGCGCATCGACTCGGACCACTTTGACGATTAGGTAGCAACCGCAGCCATTTTCATCGGTAAGATAAACTCGGCTTCTCCTAGACCTTCTTAGCCTTTGTTAGGCGGTACACGCGGCCCGAAGAAGAGACAAGTCGTAAGGGCGTTCCGAACGCGGCTAAAGAGCCAAGGGAGAGGGTTCCAGTTAGGGGGAGAAACAGAGAGGTTAGGGGATGGAAACGGCGAGGTAAGCTTGGGGAGAGAAAAAAGAAAGAAAGAAGAGGAAGAGGAGGTAGAAGGACAGAGTGGCGGAGGAGGGGGAGGGAGGAGAAGAAGCGAGAGAAAAAGAAACAACAAATGGAAAAGAAATTCCCATTACTTTGGGGGAGAGCCGTCTAGTACTCTTCTCCTTCATCTTCCTGCCGGTCTTCGTCTTGCCGTGTCTACTCCTTCGTCCTCTCCTTTCCGTTTCCTCGGCTTTCTCCTGCCGGTCTGGTACGCGGTGTTCGCGAGCCACGGCGACACGATGCACGCATGTGCCGGGGTCGTTCTATCGATTTCTCTGGTTCGCGTGGCGGTCACGAGGAGGCGTAGCCGCCGGAATCGCGTTCCCGCTGCACCAGCACGCCACCCAAAACAGCCTCGCGTATCGTCGCAACCGGGTTGCCTTTTCAAGGTTAACCTGCCACGTATATATGTATATGTACACGCAACGAACACCACCGAAAGTGCCGGTAGCCTCGTCTTGAGTGTGCCTCCACCTCCGCGGATGCCAACTTTCGCCCGTTTTTTTCACGTGCCCGTTCATAAATCGGTGAAAAACTGCTGGTCGGCCGAAACTGGTGATTTCCGACCAAATTGGTGAGAAAGGTCTTCTCGTCGTTTGCTCTTTCGTCTTTTCCAGAACTTCGTGACCAAGTGTGTGTTCCTTTTTTTTGCTACGGTGAGTAACGAATCTTTTTTTATTTATTTTTTTTTTTTTTTTTTCTTTTTCCTTTCGACGACCCAAAGTAGCGATCAGCGGTGTTCGCTAGTTGTCGAGATTTGGCACGTTCCCAACGAGTAATTAATCGAATTAAAGCGGACTCGTTAACCTTTTATTCCCTTTCTCGACTCCTCCTGTTGCGCTGGTCTCTTAACTGGTTACCTGATTCCGTTCGTACAACTTCTCTTCCCTTGAGAAAGCAAAAGGATACAACCGAGTCGGATGTTTCGTTTCAATTCTCTCTCTCGACGTGCTAGAATCACGCCGAGGTACTTTTGTATCTGAGAACTGTCGAAGAACTGAACTCGTTAATGCGAAAAATAATTTCTATATGTGAAACATTTGTGCCCAAACATTTTCCGATGGTAAAGCAGCCAATGGACAATAAAAAAAATCGGTGAACAATCGATTAATCCACAAAACAAACAATTTTATATATATAATACACAATTACATATATATATATATGTATATATAAACATTATTTATATGCATATATGCAATTTTATATACAGGGTGGGCCGGAATTCGTAGTACAACCGAGCATGGGGTGATTCTACGTCAGAAAATAAGAAAAAAATTTGGTATAACTTTTTTCATCTGTGACATGGTTATCTGAACAGAATGTAAGTTGATATCGGTCTTTAATTTCACGAATTTCTCCATAATCTTTCGCTTCAAAAAGTGTAATATTTGAAATGTTGTCTTTATAAACTTGTAAAAGAAAACTCTATAGACGTGAGATTCGGAGACCTTGGTTGCCAACGTACCTTATCGTCACGGCCGATTCAACACGAATACGTTTGATTGAAAAAATGTTTAACCTTCCTCGTGTAATGTGGCGACGTGTTCAGTCATGTTGGAAAATCATACTCCTTATAGCAGGCTAAGGTTACATCTTCTAAAAACAAAGGCAAATTGATTGCGCAGAAACTCAAACATGAATCTCAACTTTAAAGTCGATTTTCTCGAAAACAGAGCCCCAGATAGAAAAATGTTACACCAAATTTCTTTCTTATTTTTTTGACGTAGAATCATCCCCTGCTCGGTTGTACTACGAATTCCGGCCCACCCTGTGTATTACACATGAACGAAAACACGCTCGTGTTATCTAAATCTCTGATACGTACGTGTATCAGGAACACCGTTGATCAGCTGAACTTGAAAAGTCCGGATTCTACATACGTGTGTCGTAAATCGACGATGATCAACGATCTGCTAAATATCTCGTTGGTGTATCGCGGCGCGCCATCATGGCGCGATCGCGGTGAACGCAGTGATCGAGGTCGACGATTCGTCGTACGGCACAACGAACCATCTCATCTCATCTCATCTCATCTCATCGCATCGCATCGCATCGTGTCGCATCGTATCGCGTGATCGAGTATCTCGCGCGCGCGCGACCATCTCTATAAGAGAGCGTTCGGAGAGATTGATCGGTTAGTTCACTCACTGGTGTCGGAGGTGTGCACGGGAGTGGTAGCCGGCGTGTTGGAAGGCTGATGCTGGGTCGGCTGCGTCGGTATCCCGAGGGAAGCTAGCAGCGGCCGGGACACTGCACCAGGGGTGGCTGTCGGTGGCGGCGGGCTCTCCTGGCCGACGAGCAAGCTCGCGGGCGGGAACCCGAAGAGCTGGGATCACTGGAGCCTCGGCCAATAGTTACCGGTCAGGTCTGGTGTTTGAGACGGGATCTGCACCGGCACCGAGACGCCAGCCGATATCACACCTGCAACACACGATCGTTCGTTTGCTTCGTCACTGAAACTCTCGAAGTTCTGTGCTTGTCCCCGTCGGACAGTTTGTCGTCCTGCGATTCTGTGTCCTGCCCTGCCGCGGGAAATTTTGCGAAATTTCCTCACGCGATCAATGCGATTATTTATGTATCGTAGATTACGCAATCTGTAGTTATTTATCATTTTCATTTGCATTTAATTGAATATACAAATGGCCTGTAATGTTTGCCGATCGTAGGAATGCATGGAAAGAAAAGAAGTATGAAATGTGGTGCGAGAAGCGCGACGCTGGCGTCGGAGGTTTTTCTTTTTGAAAATGGTGTCGATGCGAGTCGTGAGAAAGCGTCGAGAGAGTTTGGTAAAAAAAATGAGAGTTTATTTGAGTTGTAAAATCTGTGTTCCTTAGCCTCTTGCGCGTGCCACGCAGAATTTTTTGTCCCAAAATTGCAATATTTTCTCAGTTTCGTGTATATTTTAAGTATAAATCGGGGAAAAACAAGTAACAAATTTATCATTACTTCTCAATAATTATCTATCCCGGTGATATCATACCGACGAGTTCAAAAAGAGCGATGAATTACTGTATACGGTTTGGGTCACTCGTTATGGTCCGCAATCAGTTTACCAGCGCAACGTGGTTAATCTGTGCGTCTTATCTAATTGCCTGACGTTTTATCACTAACTAATCACTGTTATTAAACAAACATATATATTTTATCTCTACGTTAGTACAAATACGCGTAATCTCGACGAGCAGCACGTTCCATCGCACTTTATCGAACATTCTCTTTCAGCTTGCAGGAGTTGATCATCCCGACTGCGGTGACTCTACTACTTTTAACAACCAATCATCCCACAGTGACGCTCCTGTTCACCGACACCTATGAAACGAACCTGGAGTTCGATACTCATTCCATTCGGCGAATCGTGTCGAAAGCGACACGTCGAGAGGCACCGCGGGGATCTGGATGCTTAGCAACGGGACATCGAAGCAACAAAGTTAACGAAAGCGAGAAACACAGAGAGAGAGAGAGAGAGAGAGAGAGAGAGAGAGAGAGAGAGATAGAGAGAGAGAGAGGAAGCACGCGGTGAAAGTTGCCCGCGCTCATGCACGTAAAACGATTATGATGGATAAGTTGCGGCTCGTTCCGCACGTAAGAAGCGAGAGAAAACGAGTAACGCAGGGAAACCTGCTGTTCGCGACACGGCAAAGCGGGGGGAGGGAGTGGGAAACAGGAGCCGGAGAACAGGGGCAGATAGAAAGAAGGGAAGAGAGACGGGATAGAAAAAGGGGGAAGGGCGATGAAGGGAGAAGAAGAGAGAAGAAGAATCCGGCGGGTCGGGGGCAAGAAGACAAGAGGAATGCCGGCGCGTGTTCCGCAGTATTCCACCATTCTACGGCGTTCCACTTCATTCCTGTAGGTACGCCGCGCACCCCCGCGTATTTCCTCCCCTTTGGGTTCGCACGTTATTGAGCGCTCGCCCAGCCGAGGCGAGACCCAACCCATCCACATCCTCTGTTCGCCCTCTCCCCCCTGTATATATACCCCGAACAGAGCAAGAGCCGTCGAGAGAGAACGCGAGAGAGAACGAAAGAGAGAGATAGAGACGACCGTCAACCAGAAAGAGGGTAGAGAAGGAGAGAGAGAAAGCCACTGGTTCAAGGGGAACGAGCAAGAAAGCTAGAGAGACACGGACAGAGAGGGAACCGCTAGAAGGGTCGAACAACCACCTCCGCGCGCACAGTTTTCGTTAAACGAGAAAGAACAGGGGGGAGGAGGAGGGAGGGGGGGTGAGAAGAGGGGCGGTTGGTGGTAGTGGTAAAGTCGAAGAAGAAAGAAATCGAAGGGAAAGAGAGGGCGACGGGAGGGAAAGTGAGAATCGGAGGGAAAATGGAAAATTCAGCAGGCACCCCGTTCGTTGTTGGACGGAACCGTTGGGGATGGTTTGGGAAGCCGAACGTACCTATCCCCGGGTCTTCGATTCTGCCCGCTGGCGCCCCGTGCGAGATTTGTTTTAAAATCCTTTCAACAATTCCGCGGACGAACGGCCAAAGAGTTCTATAGCAAGCGGTAATGTTTGGGACGGAAATGCTAGCTCGGGGATGAAAATGACGGCTATGATTAGCGTGTAATTTTTTTTTTTTTTTGGGGGGTTAAGTTCGAGTCCATCTTGTTGACGTCACTGTCGACAAGTACAGTCTGAACTGTAAGAAGGTCCCTGGATAATCCCATGCATTTTCTTTCGACTTCGTTTTATCTCCCGGCGCGTAAGAACCGCTCCGGTGGTGATCGATCTCGGACAGGGACAGGTTTCCCGGTCTATCTCGGAAGATTTCTCAGAGGCTAAAAGTGGTTCTGTTTGCCATTGACTTTGGCTAAACGGATTTGCTCGTACTCTGTCGAGGGAACTCGAGTTGATTTATTCCAAAAGTTCAGTCTAGTCTCCTGGAGTATTCTCTCCGTTGATGACGTGGCGAATGATGATAAGACAAGAAACATTACCTGTACTATCGTAAAAGCTTACTGGTCGAATTACACGTAAAAAAAAACTTGTTCGCGCGAAGGCGTGCAAAAATTTATTTGAACATTTTCCGGCGGAACGAACATTCTTCGCGCCCATTTAAACGTGTTTTCCACTCGCGTGTCGGTAACTAGAGACGCGAAGAAGACGCTTTTATCCTTTTTCGTCGCGCGTACGGAATTCTCGAGTGTGCGTAATCAAGCGGTACTTTGAATGGTGCAGCAATGAGAGCACGTTTCTCTGCGCGAACCGGTGTATACCGCAAACGACACGCGTCGAGTGTCGCGAGCACGCGACGCGAATCGTAATTTTCCGCTCCCCACCCGGGAAGCTGCACTCGCTGGCTGGCGGCTCGCCACTTCCGTTTCATCCGCCATCAGACACCCGAGAAGTTTGAACGAAACGAACACGAGCAGCGATCTTCAAATCTTCCATTTCGCGAGTGGAAAATTCTTGGCGTGGCGTGAGGAATTTTTGGTGGAATGAATACCTGTCGAGCAATACTTGCGTACTCGGCTATTGACATTCTTAATCAAGAAAATTCAATTTGTCTATCTTGATTGACTAAACAAGGTCTATCTGTACGGATACTACAGTAAGATATATTTGTCAAATTTTTGGCGTGGCGTGGGGAATTTTTGGTGGAATGAATAGTCGAGCAATATCTGCGTACTCGGCTATTGACATTCTTAATTAAGAAAATTCAGTTCATCTATCTTGATTGACCAAACTAAAGTCTATCTGTACGGATACTACAGTAAGATATATTTGTCACATAGTAAGTCATCAAGCAATCCTTATCTTTGTCCATCTATCTTGAACAGCGTGCAAATCAATGAAGAAAAATACGCAAAATTTTCATCCCAACTTACTCTTCACACTGAAATTATCGACGAGAGAATGTATATATTTTATAAGAAAAAAAATCTTTCAAACTACATCATCGTTCGCACACACGCCCATAAATTTGCACGAGAAATTGTTTTCTAAAAATTATTCAATTTCCCATATCGTACCACGGGTAGAGCATTCACTATGTTATACGTTAACAACAGCTCAACAAACTCGACAAGTGACCAACAACAAAATAAATATACAGAGTGTCCACAAAGTTCTTTTACAATTTCAAAAATTTATTACAAAGTCAAATGAAAAGATATAAGTGGAAATTATTACAAAATGAGACGTATATATTTAAGTCTTTCTTGTCTCATTTAATACACCTCTATATGGGCACCATTAGTTGCACGAAGCACATCAAGACGGTGAATTCGATTTCTTGTCATGTTCGCTGTAGCATACTCTCATCAATTGTTCGATACGCGATATCTTTACACAACCCCATATACGTGTCCATAGTCTCTTTACAATTTCAAAAATTTATTACAAAAGCAATTGATGAGATATCTTCATCAGATTTGTTCTATGTACTCGGTGGTTATCAAGGTTTTTATCACATTGAATTTCAAGTGCCCTGTTGATGAATAAGATACTGTTAAATGAATCCCTTACCTAGCATGGCTACTCCTCAAGAGAAGTCACAGTGTGTATCATGGTTTATTGAAACCAAATCGGATCTGCAGACTCGGCGAAACTTCAGAAAGACTATGGAAGACCGTCACGTCCATCAATTCGTGCATGGCACAAGAAATTTATGGAGACAGGGACAGTGTTCGATAAAGGGAGGAGTGGACGACCAAGAACATCTGAGGAAAACATTGATCGTGTAAGAAATCGAGTACCGTCTTGATGTGCTTCGTACAACTAATGGTGCCCATATAAAGGTGTATTGAATGAAGCAAAAAAAAAAAAAAAGGAACTTAAACATATACGTCTCATCGCGTAATAACTTTCACTTATCTGTCTTTCCACTTTTGCCTTTGTAATAAATGTTTGAAATTGTAAAGAGACTTTATGGACACCATTTATAAATGCACGGTTCGTTCACACGATCTACTTTCATTCGAACGAACGATCGTTTCGAGGTGATGCATAACTCAGACAAGGAATAGCCTAACATCGAAGTAGCCCTGCGCACCTCGATCAGCGTTTAGACGCCGCGCCGCGTCATCGACGTGGAGACGACGAAAACGGATACACGCGCGGCTTGGAGGAGGACACGGCCTTGAAGATTGAACAGAGAACAAACAAACAATCCTTTAAAGCGGAAACTCACCAGTAGCGGTCGAGGTCGTTGGCTGGTAGGGTGCACCACCTGGTCCTGCAGGCTGTCCTCCTGGCGTAGTGGGGGTTCCACCATGAGAGGTCGGTATACCGCGATGGGGTTGCGAGTGCGCAGCAGTGCTGTGTGCGTGGGAGTAAGACTGCGTCAGGGAGTGAAGAGGCTCGTGGAACACGTACGCCGGATATCCCTCGGCGCGCTGCTGAAGACAGCTTCCACCCATTGACCCGCCCAAGCTGCTAGACATCGAGCTGCCAACACACAACCGACACATCCGCGTCAGATCGGAATAACCACCGTCACACCGCCGCCGTCCAATTTGTCGAAACGTCGTTTCCAGTCGATGGAACCCCGGAGGGGGGTCACGTTCGTCACACGTTGCTGGATTCGCGCGCGTTTACTCCGCGAATTTCGGAACGTTGCCGAGAGGACACGACTAAACACGCTCCAACACCGCGATCGCCTTGTTCAGATCTCGTGTCGAACAGTGCCGTAGCGTTTGGTCGCGATGCTCAAGTTTTCCTTTCCCCCCACGTATTCTTTTTTATCCACGTAGACCATGACGAGTGACCAAATCGTATACAACAACTCGTATAATATCACTGGATAGAAATTACTGAGAAATAATAAATTTAATTAAATTATTTGCTTTGCCTATTTTGTTTTACTTAAATATACTTAAAATTGAGAAACTATTGCAATTTTGGATGAAAAAAATTCTAGAACGTGCAAGAGGTTAACCACGTTGCGCTGGCAACTGATTGCGGACCGTAACGAGTGAACCGTATACAATAATTTGTCGCTTTCTTTTTGATCTCGTCGGTATATCACTGAATAGAGATGATTGAGAAGTAATAAATTTATTATTTGCTTTGCCTATTTTGTTTTACTTAAATATACTTAGAACTGAGGAAATATTGCAATATTGGGACAAAAAATTCCCGACTTGCGTGGCACGTCATTTCATTGCGCAAGAGGTTAACAAAACATCAAAATATAGGAGAAACCGAGTTTGTTAATATTTAATTAAATTTAAGTTCAAACGTGGTACTTTAAGCCGTGAAAAAAAAAATTGGAAAAAATATTAAAAATAGTAAAATAGTAAAAGAAATTTCATTAGGAATTGAGTTTCTGATTCACCCCTGGAGAGTCCCTTACTTTAGTTGTTTTCTAAATTGCATAAACAGGCAGTTTTTATTTTATTTACTTTTAATTTCGTTGCTTGGCATTTCTCGTAGTTACATCGAGGAGCATTTTATCGCGTCGCGTGACACTATCCAACACGATTTTTTAAATCGTCCTTGGACTAAACTAGAACGGTTAATTTAGATTCTTGTACTTCCAAAACCCGCGTGGATGTAAACAGAATTTCCGATCCAATTGTTAATAAACTACTTGGGTGCACTGCACTTTTCGTAAAAAGGATCGATTTCTTTTTTGCAAATTTTTTCAAAAGTTCTTTCCTTCATTCGTCTACCTTCGTTCGATTACGTTAAATCGAGCGGATCATTAAATTACCGAAAATTTTTGACAACGTTTTCATGTAACGAGCGTATATGAATTTCACACGGTGCACGATATTTGTCGCGGTAATTTGATGAACGTACAATGCAGTAACTCGAATTTGATTTTTGCACAATTTAATCCGTTTTTCGACGAATATTCGGTATCAAAGAGTCGACCGGCGCCTGAATTATGATATACTCTTGCCTCTCTGGGAATAACATATTCATTCGAAGATATATTTTTCGCGGGATTAAATTTTTGACAAGGTCAAACGTTTATTTAAACACGCGCGATTTTCGATGAATCGCGAAACGTCGAGCGCGAAAAATATACACGGTCGTGTTTGAGAATGGTTTGGAAAATTTAAACTCCACTCGTTTCCGATATCTGTAATCTCTGTAACGATGCAGCAACACTCCGGTTAAGCTCAATTGCCAAATCTTTGAACAACGGTTTACAATTGCCGCAACCTTTGTTAATCTATCCACTGCGATTTATATAATAAAGCGTAAACAAACGAACCAAAAGTTGCCGAAAGAAAAAAGAAAGAAAGAAGAAAGGAAAGAACGTTTCAAAAATTCTTCCGAATAATGAAAGCGCGCTTTTATACACCGCGAGCACTTAGAAAAAAGAAAAAAAAAAGAAAAAAGAGAAAAAAACGTAGCAAATTACGTTCGGACAAACGATTAAACATTCTAATTAAAAACTCCTCGATTTTGCTCTCCGGAACATTCTCGCGAATAAAAAAAAAAACTCTTTCCAGATAAACGAACAGACAATTGAAAACTAAATTGCCACGACACGATAGATATAAACTAATAGTACGAAAATCTCTGATACACAGTTGGGAAATGTTTGGCGAGGAGAACTATCAATCTCCTTGACTCCGAAAATTCAACTCGTTAACCCCGCGAGATCGTTCCACTTGTAATCCTTTCACCGGCAACGAACGAAATTTCACGGTATTGAAGCTCGACGAGAGAGAGCTCGACGCAAACTCGATCGTACACGAGGTTCCCGCGTGTAGGTACACGTACATGCAACGTGTGCACGCGCGTAGATCGTAGTAGACGGTTGGCGAAACAGGAAAAACAAAAGGGAAAGGAGAGGGTGACAGAATGATTACCTGTAAGTGTCAGGCATGGTAGCGATCGGCTGCGGTATCGACGAGTACATGGCGTTGAATCCGGCGTTTAAGGGCAACCGTGGGGTGGCGGGGGTCGCGGCCGGGGGCGCGGTGCTGCTGCCGCCCCCGCTGCTGCCACCGCCGACTACCTGATCGACGGCTGCTCTCCTTTGGTTCCGTAATTTCTCCTCTCGACGCCACTTCGCTCTGCGATTACTGAACCACACCTGCAACCGACGCAATGACGGTGCTTTTGTCACGATAAGGGCGTCACTCCGCGCGAGATGTGTTCGCATTATCCGCACCTATTCATCCTCGCATCCACCATCGTCTCCACATCCTCGCATTCTACTACTTTCTCCCCACTCTTCTTCTACTCCTCCCCGTTCTTCAGCCTTGTTTTTTCATCCCTCCACAACCATTCATGCTTCTCTTCCACCTCTCCCCCCCCCCCTCTCTCCCTTTTTTCTTTATCGTTCCATCATCACGCACTCTCTCACTGTTTTCTCGTTCGTTCCTCGCCTCTTCCCGCCGCCCACTCACTCTCTCTCTCTCTCTCTCTGTCTCTCTGCGCGTTCTTTCTCCCCGACCTATTCTCCTCGTCCAGCCATCCGGCAGCCGTGAAGTCTAGATACTTTTTCCCCAACCCGACCACCACCCCTCGGAAAACTCTCACGCAGCCGAGTTTGCACGAGACTCTCCTGCAGTTTGTTAATTGCGATTGAGCAGTTGTCGGATGGGAAATTGAGTTACTCTCTGTATTCTCAGCGGCGTACACGCCTGCGCGACCACCGTGCTCGTACGTTATATCTCGTTGCCTCGCGTCGTTTCCCCTCGCGATGTTTCCTTTCCCTTACGAGCTATCTAACGCGTTTCTTTCTTTCTTTCTTTTTTTTTTTTTTTTTCGGTACTGACTTTTGGGTGTAACTACGCCACGAAGAACATTAGAAATTTGAACGATACTTAGCAAGCCTTAACCTTAACATTCAATATTCAACTGTTCCCCTCCTGCGTTGACCACGTTGCGCTGGCAACTGATTGCGCAACTGACCATAACGAGTGACCAAGCCGTATACAATAATTCGCCGCTTTCTTTCTGAACTCGGCGGTACGATATCACTGGGTGGAAATTATTGAGAAGTAATAATAAATTTATTATTCGTTTTGCCTGGGTTATACTTAAATATATACTTAGAACTGAGAGAATATTGCAATTTTGAGACAAAAAATTCTCGACGTGCGTGACACGTTATTCCAGAGCGCAAGAGATTAAAAATCCTCCAAAAATGGACCTAATGACGATAATTCTAACGTTAATTGCGCGTTAATTTCTAATATTTCCGTGAATATTTAGAATATCCTGTTGCTACTATTTTGCCATTTCTGTACTGGTTTCGAGAGAACAATTGCGTCGAATTTGAACAAATCGAACCTCTCAACAGTACGTTTTAACGTTACAGTGATATAAATTAATTCGATGTAGACTCACTAGAGGAGGGAAAAAAAAAAAAAAAACTCTTTCCGCTTAATCGAACTCGAAACGTTCTACGAGATATTCGAGGCCGCTTTCAAAATTCAAATTCTGTCATTGCGTTTCCTTGTGTCCGTGAATTATGAAATCGCGCGTAGTTACCTCTGTAATGTTCAAAATTGAAAATTTAATGAATGATCAAAAGGTTCGCGACAGCGGGGAGGTGTAAATTTCTTTGCAAATATTACGCGTTTAACTGAATGTGTTATTTCAAGACAGTACAGAAACCCGAGACAAGCCGCATGGTTAATAAGCTGCGCTATTCGAGAAAGTGCGAGGAAACATTGCCGAAGAGACTCGGGGGCCAATCGAGCAAAGTTCAGCCCTTAATTATCAACAGGCGGTTAACCATACACACTTACTGACATCCAACAATCGTTCCTAACCCACACAACGTACCTCTCTCTCTCTCTTCAACCTTTCCCTCCCTCTCTCTCTCTCTCTCTCTGCGGATTATTAAACTTCATACTGTGTTTGTCACTTGCACAACAGAACAGAGGGCAAGGTGTGAAAAATGATCTTGGAAATTACGGAAAGGAATAAAACATGGAGAGAAATAATAGTATAATAAATAAACCTAGAGGATTGTCGATAATCGTATCGAAATCCCCAAGATTGACCACTGTTATTTTTTACTCTAGTTTCTATACCTGTTAAGAAAAATGTAAATAATACCACAAGTAATTTCTGATATTCTACAAAATTTTATTTCATTTTATTTGAATTACTTTTTTTTAAATTACTGTCGCTAGATGGCAATTTAATTTTTATTAAATTAAAAAAAAAACATTTCTTATAATATACCATATGTTATTATATTATAATATACTACTCTTAATATATTATATTATAATATACTGTACTCTTAATATTATATAATAATAATAATATTAATAATAATAATAACATAATAATGTATATTAACAATAATAATATAATATATTTTGCACATACAAAATAGACACATTCGCAAAGAAAAAAAAAAAAAAAAGAAAAATAAAAACATAAACTTTGGAACCGCTGCTACACAGACAATTTCGGTTTCTAAGATACTACTTTATCATCTAAATCGCCAATGACGATATCTCGCAGCAGGGATCTCTCGCGCGCGAGCGTCGAACAAGATGGCCATAATAACCGGTAATCTGGAGCAACAAATCGGAGCTTAAGTTCTTTGTCGCGCTTCCACGGATCTCCCCGATTTCGAAGATACCTCGTCGCGATAAGAGGATTCCCTTTTCCCTACGATATGTCGATTTCCCTCCTTGCCACCCTCCCCGAGCACGCTAACCGCACTGGGTGGCGCAAACACACACCGCGGGCCCGGATTACGTCGTAATTTTTCTCTTTCGAAAATCCCTCTCGTCATTCCTTCGCGTGCAGAGGAAATATATACAAATAATATTTACTCTGCGCGATCGCGTTCATAGCGGACAAATGGGGAAACCAAGTGGATAAATAGAGTGAAGTGAAACAAGAAACAGAAAACCGAAAGAAAAAAAAAAAAAGAAAGGAAAGAAGGGAAGAATATATATATATATATATATATATATATATATATATATATATAGAGAGAGAGAGAGAGAGAGAGAAAATAAAAGTGAGATAAAAAAGTGGATAAAAGTGAGAGAAAAAAATGGAAGTACGGCCGGAATTGTTGAATTATGAAACGGCTCGATTGCTCGGCTCATTTGCAAAGAGAAAAAAAATATATATATGCACAATATATATATATATATATATAAATATATAAAACGCAACGAACTCGTGGTTCTTTCTCTTCTCTCCGCTACCAATTGAGAGCCGCGGCGCTTTTATTAATAGCCGACAATTGCTACGTCGGCTGTTCCCCGTTCGCCAACAGCCGCTTAAACATTCGCGCGATAATGAGAATAACGATATAAAAATTCGATTGCCAACAATGAGCGCAACTTTCTCAATTACCATGCGCCCACCGAGGACGTTAACAATAAGCCAGACCCCCGGCGAGGGGGCGGTATTATTATTTTTCCCCCCCCCTCCCCCCCCGCGGCCCCCTCGATTCGCGTTTTAACCCCCCCCCCCCCTACCACCTCCTCGCGCCAATCCCCGATTCTGACGCTAATTTGTACGTATTCATTCGAGCCATTGGTGAAAAACAAAATAAACGCGAAACAGAGAAAGAGGGAGAGGAATTTGTGATTCAGTGGTTCGTGAAGGGGAATTTTTCAAAAATTTGCTTCCGGTTGCTGTGTTGAAAAGAAATGTGTCGATTTGACTCCTTTTTGATAGTAACTCGACGTCTGCGTTAAACACGTACATACGTTGGTTATGTTCATCTTCTAATGTAAATACCTTCCAATGTAAATTCGAGTATTTACATGATAATGAGCGAAAGAGAGGAACGATGCGAACTTTTTTTACTACGTTAAGCGATTAAAATCTCGCGATTCCATCTGAAAGGGGCAGCGAAATATTTCACGATTCTTTGCTGCCCGTATTATTTCAATAGGCGGGAGGGGGTGAGAGAAAATTCAAAATTCATTTTGCTCGTCGCGAAAAACGTGATCCTGCACACCCGGCGGCGGCAGCGGCGGCGACTTTCAATTGAACGAAATAAAAAGGGACGGCGGCGAGGGGGATAGGGAGCAAAAGGAAGAATTAAAAAAAAAAATAAAAAAAAAATGAAATAAATTTCGCGGCGGCAGCGACGTGGCAAATCGTGTTCTAGCGGGCCACCGGCAAATATCCACCCATTCGCCCGCAGCGAACTCCTTTCGCCCAATACCGTCGTTCCTCGTAAACTCGTCCTACCGCGTCCCGAAAACTCGTTTGAATCGATCCATTCGGAATTCCACGAACCGGGTACATCGTTCCCGTCCCTCGCGGCAGACCTTCTACTTTGATTGGCAATGTTTAGAAGATGGCGTCGCGCACACGAATTTTAAGATCGTTCCGTGAAACTTGTTTACCGGTTTCTTGACGCGCGCATCATAATATACGCACGATGCTTTTGAAAATGTGGTACTTAGGATGCGCGGCAACAGGATGAGTATTAACAACTTTTTACGTTTTACTTTTTTCTTCAAATTTTTCTGACTTTTTCTTTTTTTTTAATAGATGTGGCTAAATGGATGAAACTTGCGTGTATTTGTTTAAAAGAGTGTGTCGTTGATATTTTTCTAAGACACTTTAAAGGAGATTCCTCGTAATACAAAATTTCGGTGATAGTTTGTAGAATATTTTTTGAAGCAGAATAACCATCGAGAGTGTCTAAATGTCTGAACCTTCGACTGATCGTGAGAGCAAAATGTTTCTCGAGAGAAATTTTCGGAGTTTGAAAATTTTAGAAAATCGACCTGAGAGGAAACCAATTTTGCACTGATTTGGCAGGAAATTATCGACTGACTCAAAAGAAAAAAAGTTTCACTTCTACAAAACACTCGATGACTCTCGAGACGAAAATTTTGAAAAGTTACTTTTAGTTTTTGAAGAAGTCGACTAAAGAAACTCTCGGAACCCGACTCGAATCATTTTCTTGATCAATTGCAAGAAAGGATATTTCTATCGAGAGGTCCTTCGAACTAACTTGAGGAAAGTTTTCAGAACTGTACGTTTCAGGAACAGAGAGAAAAAGAGAGAGAGAGAGAGAGAGAGAGAGAGAGAGAGAGAGAGTGTGTGTGTGTGTGTCGTAGAATTTCGATGGACTGAAAGAAAGAAGAAAATATAGTCCGCAACCTCTTTTTGAAAAACAAAAAATATCTTCCACGTGCAAGAATAATTCCAATCGCGCAACGTCTCACAAGAGCAGCTCTCGACTTTTCGATCTCGTCGAAACATAGCGGACCGCGCAAACTAAAAATTCCGCGTGTGTGTGTGTGTGTGTGTGTACTACCTACAAGCGTCCACTTCACAAAGATTCTTCTCGACCGAGAGGTTAAAGAGATTCAAGCGCGTTGGGTTTCTCCTGAAAAAGACAAAGATGGCAAGGTTGATTGGAGCGATCGAGGAACATCGGCCATCGCGGCGTCACACGGAGGGATTCGCCGGTCTCTGGCCACCGCCATAGATGATAATCGGGCAGTGGCGGCGGTATCGCGCGACGCGGCGCGGCGCGGCGCGGCGCGGCGTGGCGCGGCACGGCGTGGCGAAACTCGTGCGAGTATCCAAGGTATAGGTGGAAAAGCGAGGAACAACCAATCAGAGGGCAACCTCCCTGGGGACGCGACGTTGCCATGGTTGCGTTCGAACCCTCTTAGGCCGTCTGTGCTGGATCCCTCACGGCTTGCTCGGGATATACATCGCGTGGCGTTTCGTAGCCCGTGGCACACGGCCGTGTCGACGAGTCCACCATGTCCTGCCTCCGTCGCGACGCTTTTGCTTTTGCTTTTGCTTCTGCCATTGCCTTTGCTTTCTCTCCTCTGCACGTTGCTCTCTCTCTCTCTCTTTATACTACCTCCTCTCGTTATCCTCCTCGTTTTATCCGTCCATCCAACACAACGTTTCACAGGCCCGCACACGCCGCTCGTTCAATCCTTCTTCCCTTTACACTCTCCTTTCGCCCTCTTTCTCCTCTTCTTTCTCTTTTCTTCTCTCCATCTACCATTTCTTTCTATCTCTTTCTTCTCTTTCTCCACTCACTTCTTCTCTCTGTTTCTCCACTCTTTCTTCCCTCCCTATGTATCTCTCTCTCTCTCTCTCTCTCTCTCTCTGCCTTTGCCTCTCGCACCGGCACTCCCGGTTTCCTGCACTTAGCAAGATCAATACCAGCCAACGAGGCTTGAAAACATGCGTCAACATGGTCTTGCACTGTTTGTACGTCCACATAACGCTCAGCGCCCGGTTACTACCACCGACGCGAAAGCCCGCCGGCCACTTCACCACCCCCTATCGTCGGGCCAGGTGAGGGAGAGGCCGGCCGGATAGCAAGAGGGTCGAACACAGGCCGAGCCAGAGGCACCGCGCGGCCAAACAATGTTCGATAAGGCTGCGTACATATTAGCTCGTATAACCGTGCGTCACCCCATGACTCGAGCAACGATGTTATATTAATTAATTACCATGCACTCTCTCTCTCTCTCTCTCTCTCTCTCTCTCTCTCTCTCTCCCTGTTTCTGTTTCTGTATTTTGCACTCTTGTGCACGTTACGCGATTCACATCTCGATACGTATGCCAATTGCAAAAAAAGAACGTTGCCTCACTTTCCTCGGGTGAGTAAAGCAGAGATTTCGAATCGTTCGTTTCATTTTACGGGGTAAATGAATTTTTGTAGTAACAGGTAATGTTACGGAGGTAAATTATGAAGCACAACTCCTTTGCTACGATAGACTTTGAATCAGATGCGAACCTATATACTGAGAACGATGAAATTATTTCTCGTCAGTGACAATTTTTGAGAAAGATATATTGAAATAATCAGAAACACTATTTGTTCGTATTTTGTATTGAATTGTTACTAAAAATTACAGTATACAGTAACTTTATCTCACAGTAAGTTTATTTCACGATACACCTAATAAAAATTACAGTATACGGCAACTTTATCTCAGAGTAAGTAAGGTCTAATCCAGTCGGGTATAGTGCAATCCGAAACGTGGAGCAATGCATAATCCTACATCAAATTTCTTGCATTCGTAATGCAATCTTCCTTCTTCCGTTGTGTTTTCTACACACGAAATATTCGTATCTTTCCGCGATTAATTTATTACCACGCCTTTTCATTTCGAGAGTATGTGTACCCCACATTTTCATTTCGAGACCGAAGTATTACAAGTTGAGCGTTTATAGGCGCCAACGGTAACCGAGGGGTTAAAAACGACGATCCCCTCGAATCGCATATTCACGAATTACTCTTAGAAATCAAGAATGACGCTCCATTTTACCTACTCTCCACACTTTCAAGCGCGAGAAGTTGCCGGTCGAATATTTTCGGAAACCCAATACAGGGGCGCGGCGGTGAAGACGCAAGAAACGTGGCTCGAGTGGCGTGAAGACGCGCGAAGACGCGTGAAGACGCTGAAGAGGCTGAGAAGAAGAGACAGGTATAAAGGCGAAATCCCACCGGGGTGGTCTCGCAGATTCGTCCTCGAGCGAGGTGTTTTAACGTCCCCGCGCGTCGGTGGCCACGCGTTTCAAGCGCTTAATGAAAGGGCGTCGTCGCACTTAACAGCCGCCCTTCTCTCTCTGCTCTCGTCCGTGTTTTACGGCTGGCTACGTAAGAGTGCGGCAAGACAGTCGTCTAACTTCCTCTAGCACTGGTGCAGCGACGGAGGAGGATGGACAGTGGAGGGAAGACAGACACGACCGGGGCAAAAGGGAGAAATTAATCGAGAAAAGGAACGAGAAAAGGAACGTTGCGGCACACGTGACGAAGAAAATGGTAGGAAACTGAAAAAGAAAAAGAAAAAAAAAAGGAGGAGAGGGGGAACGAAAAGAAAGAAAGAAAGAAAGAAAGAATGAATGAAAAGGTGAGAAAGGCGGTGGGTGGAGCGAACGAGAAAGAGGAAAAGCACACGCCGCATTCGCACATTCACACTCACCTGGATACGTGCCTCAGGCAATCCAATCTTCTCAGCGAGACGCTCCCGTGCAAACACGTCCGGGTAATGTGTCCGCTCGAATTCTAAAACGAAACCAGTTTGCAACAAGTGCTCGTTATTAAACGTGCCTCGGTTGGATATAGCTGACGCTTTTCGCGCTCTACTACTATCTATATATCTCTATACTATGCGTGCGCATGTGTGTGGGCCTGCACCGTGTACACAACTTAAAAAGATATACACACGTACATCCGACACGTATTTACGATATTTGTTTGTACTGGGGCGAGTGACGACACGACGCAGTACGGCACCGGTACAATTTTATATTAATCGCGCATAATTTCGATTCACCGCGAGACAAGATTAAAAGGATAATTATCGACGATACTCGAACGCGAGAGCGCGACTTGAATGGCCGCGGATCCAATTAAAGCAGTCGTGCTGCTCCTGCTGAGCGCGCCAACCAAGAGAGAGGAAAGCCTCCCCCCCGATATATTCGAGGAAAGCAGTAATTTACCTCCGACCGTCTCTGAATATGCATGCATCGCCGCGAAACGGACGGGAATATACAGAGCCCTCCTTCCTCCTTCTCTTCCTCCGGGAGAGAGCGCGCGCGCGCGATCATTCGACGTTTATATCGTTATTACCGGCTGAACGAAAATGGAGCTTTCGTCGAGTGGATGGCCGCGTGTGTTTGTTAACGTGGAAACACGCGACCCGGGGAGGAGATGCGCGCTGTTTTTTGATTGTCTTCTCTTTTTCCCGCGCCGGTAATTGTACCTGGATTTTCAATGATTAAAACGGGAAACGGTAGCTGTATAGGTGGGCTGTTTTCAAACCCTTAATGGGGCCACCATGAGCTCCCTCGCTCACCCGGCTCGATACGGGCAAGTACGAATTACGAATTTTCTACTTTCACGGGGGATTAGCAAAATTTACGCTTACGTGTCCCGGGATTCATTTATTTTCCAAAGATTCGTTTGGCGCGGTTCGTATTACGCGTCACCGATACCACCGTATGTACGTGCGTACGACGAATCGATTTTGAAATTAACAAGGATAAATTTTCACAGAAATATGTCGAAGCATTCTTCTTTCGAGTAATTCCGCTCGTAATTTTCTTTCCTTTTTACTAAATTTTTACAGACGCGATGTTTTTTTCGTGAGAAATAACATTTAATGACTTTTACCTTTATATTATAGTTAAGACGTCAAGTGCCGTGCGTATTTTGTTTACCTTTCTGTTCGATGCAATTTCGCGATAAGCGAAACGCAAGATTCACAGTACGATTACATCTCAGTATTCCAAGTCAAAAAATTTTGTAAAAATATTAGTAAACCGATTTCGATGGAATTTGGAACGAATGTAGTTTTTAAAAAAAATATTCGACTCGTATCTTTTTTTATCGGAAAGATAAGGTCGATGTTGAAGAGATAAAAACTACCCTCAAAGTTGGGGGTGCGAAACATATTTTGTCAAATATCTCGGAAACTATTGAAGATATCGGTTTTGTGTACATTGACGAAATTAGTGTTTTTTTTAACGATGAATTTAATAATGTATACTGCTTTGCAAAAAAAAAACCTTGTGTTTAAACGATATATTTTTAAAAAAGAATCGTATTTGATATAGTAAATGTTAACAGATTTTCTTGAATATATTCAAGCACAAATTTCGGATAAAATAGAATCTTGAGCTTTTTTCGTTATAAAAAAATTCATTATTTCCAAATTTAGCACGTTGGAATATTCTGCGATGAGTGCAAAGGAAAACCACATTTTTGTCCAAATTGTTTCAATAAAACCCATTAAAATTATTATTACATTGTTATACCGTATACCGTTTATACAATAAATATCAATAAAAGCAATAATATTCAGCTACTATTCTTTTTGTTGTAATCTCAAAATTTCTCAATTTTTATTATTATATACGTGTACTAAATTTGCTTCGTTGGTCACCAATGACCGACACGGCACTTAACGTGTTAAACAATTTTTAGAATCATTCAAGCATCACCGAAAAGATTCAAAAGATGCTTCGTACGTTCTCGAGACAATGAGACACTAACCTTTCTCGAGGCTGTCGATCTGTTCGTTGGAGAAAGACGTTCGATTGCGTTGCAACTTCCGTTTTAGCCTCAATCGAACCTGCGAGTCCTCGTCGCCGGACGAGTTGTGCTCCGAGTTCCCATCCGACGTCGTTTCCTGTTGATGCGACAACAAAGAACCCGTATCTGGAAAAACACACGAGGCAATTCTTTTGAAAGTTTCACGTGATCACGAGTTGAAACAACATAAAGCCATTGCTTTTGCACGTGACATAGAAAAATATTCACCGGGTCCAAGGCTCGAGTCGTGAATCCACAAATCGAGCTTCATCGAATTTCAATCCCGAAAAAAATCCAACCCTAAACGAAAGAGCAACTTTCCCTCACATTCTAAAACTTTCTTCTTCCCGCTGGACCTGGCTAATTTAGCGAGAGGCGAGTGGCTGCTGCTGCTGCTGCTCGCGCGAGGAGAAGAAAATTCAGGAGAGGAAAAAGGGAGGAGAGGTTTCGGGTTCGAACTTTCCGCCGCTTGCCTCGAGGAGAACGATCCAATTAAGGACCCGTCCCAGTATCATTCCAGTGATTTCGCGACGAACGACGCGGACTAACGTTCTCGGGATTCCTGGAGACAGTCAACCAGGGCCAAGAGCCAAGAACGAGACAGAAAGTGAGGCGGAAAGGGGCTAGAGGGAGCAAAGACGTCCGCCTCGTCTTCTTGCTCGATCATAGTGATCGCGTTGCTACCACTACGTGCGTGTACAGGCCGTTTCAGAGAGTTGGTGTCAAACTTCAGGAGTACGTTGCATTATACAGATAGATCTTAATGAGCACAGATCTAAACGGAACGGAAAGTAATTTGCATAGTTTTGTCTTTGTAATTCGGTCGTGAACAGTTTTCGAGTGAGTTGCAAGTTCGTTTATCTTAAATAGCGTTATGGGTTTTCCACGCTGAATTAATCCTTTTGACAGATTATATTCATACCTTTTTGAACTGGATAAGTTAATTCGCAGATCGTATTCACGTTATTCTGGCAAACAAGATTCACGTTATTGCGAATTCAATTCAAACTCGGCACACTCTCCAATGAAGATGTCGTTTCAAAAATTAAATCCTATGCGAGAAATCTTTCGAACATTTAATGAACGTTATTGATCATCCTGTTGTAGTTATCACTCTTACAAATTGTCATAATTATTATATAAATGTATATATAAAACTATCTCGCGCAACCTGAATATAGACCTGAATCTATTATATAAAAATACCTTTAGTGTTAAATAAATGTTTCACATCATTTCATGTTACTTTTTGTTCAAGTATTACTATACACATAAAAAATTTTTATTTCGAAATAACAACTTCGCGTTGGATTTTATTTTTATTACAATGGCTCGAGGAAACCTCGTCGAAAAACTCGATTTGCGAGAGGGTTAATATCGAGTGCGAAACCACTGTATAAAAAATGATTATTCGAATCATTTTCTCGTTCTTGACGAACCTACGTAGTAAATAGTAAAGATGAATTATACTTCACAAACTGAGTAAATTTGAGGACCAGATGATTCACAGATAGCCGGGTTTGTTACTTTTTTCATTACGTGCCTCTCGAGTTTCGGCACCAGCTTTCTGTACAGAGGGAAGGTGCTCTTCTTTGGTCGTCGTTGTCGTCGTCGTCGTCGTCGTCGTCGTCGTCGTCGTCATCGTCGACGTTGACGGCTCCCGGTGAGCCGCGATTACTTTCCGCCTCCGCGCATCGAACCCTCGCCTCTTTCCATCCCTCTCCCGATACCTTCCTGCCATTTCCCTTCCCCTCTGCCCGTGTCCGTCCCTTCGTACGCTACGTGTACCTATATATTTGCCCTTACGCCTATATACATACACGTATATACACGTATTTCTAGGTGTGTACCTATATATCGTCCGCTCGTCAGCTGCTCGCTTTCTCGTTCGCTCATCTCTCGCGCATCGCGCAACCCTCTGCCTTCTCCGCCGCCGCCGCCGCCGCTTCCACACCACCACCCTACAAAATCTCTCGCCCACACCCACACTCTCTCTCCTTCCAGTCCCGTGGTACCCTTCTGCCAATTCGAAATACCGCCACCCTCAAACATTCTACTAGGCTTTGCCTCCGACCAAACTATATTCTATATTCTCCCGTCATCCTCTTACGGGGAAATATATATTCCCTTCTCCTTCTTTTTTTCACTGACATTCGATGTACGAGAGGAAAGCGCAGATGCGTGTACTCCCCTCGCGCAATAATTCCTCGCGATTTTGGGTCAGTCGAACTTATTTCAATCTATAATGTATAACAGATTAATCTCACGCGCTGGAATGACGAGAATTTTTTTCTCTCAAAATTGCACTGTTTCCTCAGTTTTAAGCAAAACAAAATAGGCGAAACAAATAATAAATTTAGCACTTCTCAATAATATCTATCCAGTGATATCATACCGACGAGTTCAGAAAGAAAGCGACGAGTTGTTGTATATACGGTTTGTGGTCACTCGTTATGGTCCGCAATCAGTTACCAGGCGCAAGTGGTTGAACTGTTGCTTAACCTCTTGCGTTTTTTTTTCTCCCAAAATTGCAATATTTCCTCAGTTCTAAGTGTATTTGAGTAAAACAAAATAGGCAAAGCAAATAATAAATTTGTTACTTCTCAATAATTTCTATCCAGTGATATCATACCGACGAGTTCAAAAAGAAAGCGACNGAGTTGTTGTATATACGGTTTGTGGTCACTCGTTATGGTCCGCAATCAGTTGCCAGCGCAGAATATAGCCTGGAAGTGGCTTGCTATGAAATAAATTTCAAAGAACCGCCACTTTATATTTCCCTATCGTGAAGAACGATTGACAATTTCAGGCGAATCCGTGCCGATCGTTGGCTTTAATTTTCTAGGTGACGACGCGTGATCGCGAGGGGAAGAAATGGGGTGGTACGGCTGGGTGACCACGCGACCAGAAGATTCGCCACGATGCTTGGGCTACTTTTAGATCTACCTTCGACTCTCGAAAAAAAAAAACGTTTCGGAACGGAGACGTTAGAAGAATTATCACACGCGTTAACGACAGTCACAACTATTGTACCTCTGCGGTTCCTCTAATATCCCTTGAAGTTCGAATGATCACCCATTTAATGTAGGAAATGAATGAATGTGATGCATCTTGCCTTGATTTTATCGTACAATAAGCCTCTTGGAGCTTCCTCTTTGGAGTTACGTGAGCGTTGAATACTGATGACGGATACGTGGCAAGATGGATGGGCAACTAACGTAGCGAGTGACTTGAATTAAACTGTTGAACTAATTGAACTGACTCACCTTAGTTTTTTTCTTTTTTTACTTGCATTAATGAATAGTAGTTTAGTTTTTCGTTATCTATTTTGTCGCTCGTGTAGCCGGGGTTGCAGAAAAAGTTTCAAAAACCCTTCTTAAAAGAAAAAACCAACATCACACGGAGTTCCCAAGCGGTCACCCATCTGCCCAGCACTGCTTAACTTTCGTCATTGGACGAGAACGAGAGTACATTCAGAGCGGTTTTAAACGTTGGTTTCTCGAATTCTATACCGTATTGATCCTACTTAAGGTCTTTAAGGACTCTCTTGCATCATTCCCGATCACGTGATTGGAAAAATAAGTCATTTTGGGCTTAAGGTCAGTCCGATAAAATAATATTCGCAATTACGTCTCCCAACAGTCGCCGTACGTCCCTCGCCTCACGTTTATACGTTTCGTTGGTCCTGGCTGTGGGCTCAAAAGCCAGAAGAACAGGTCCTTTAGATCCACCCTTGGCCTTAAATAACATGTACACGAGTTCGTTCGACAGTATTATAGTGGACGAGAGGAAGAATTTTCGGTATTAAATTGCGGATAATTTGGCGGTCGAGCGTTGGAATATATTTTGTGTCTCGTTCGAGCGGCGACGAGAAAGTCGGTCGAAAGTTGAACGAACTGGAAAGTTAGTGTCCTCGAAACTGTCGATCGTTTTGCGGACGCGATGAAATTTTTGGCAAGGTAATGGATTTCCGTCGCTTTACGAACGTAATCCACCAAAATGGAACCTAAATGAAAACAAATCCATCCTCTATCTGTCGAATGTACAGTAATTCATTTGTATTTTTTACCGATTTATATACGCACTCTCGTTTTTGACAAAAATCCATAAACAATGGCAAGACAATACAAACGAACTGCGGACCTGTTCTCATATCAACCATATTCGACTAATTTCGTTTCATTCGCGCGAAACTCGACCGGCAACCTTGCGATTATCGCGATGAATCCCTTAATAGCTCGAAATAGTCACGACGGGATCGCGGGGCAAATCGGTGGAAATCGCACAGCCAGCCAACCGGGATTCATTATTAAAACAGCCTTTCGATCATCGAACTAGCTAACAATTTCAGTAATCTGCTTATCTCGAATCACGGTTACATTCGGAAACCGTCATCCCGCGGAGCAATTTTAGCCACGATCGGGACCGCAGAGGCTGCGATTGAACGTGATCCTATTAGGAGAGAGACGTTTCGATCCAACGAAGGCCCCGGCGGCCGTTCCCTTTCTTCCGACGCGTAAACCGACGTGGAAATACAACAACGGGACAATACAACAACGCAGGTTCGCGGAAGGAGCCTGGCGAAGGAACGTGGGACGAGGGTGTCGCGCGTACGAGCATATTATAATACCATCGAGGGTGCTCCCTTGACTTTCACCTTGCCTGCGGAGACCATTGTCGGTCCCGCCAATGGAGAAGAAGTGGATCGAGCGCGTTCGGTGCACTCGGATTCCTATGGCGTTTGTCTGATTCTATGGCTTTCTTCCCCCCTCCCTCTCACAACCCTGGCTCATGGCGTGAAAGGCAAAAGGGCCTCGAAAGACGCAACAACAATTCCGTTTACGCGAGAATGAGGAGCTATTGAAAACGAGTTGTCGAAACAGTTCGACTGATGGCTGAGAAGTTCTCTGACGGTGAAAAGAATTTTCGTGAATTATTGCGATTCTCGAGGGTCTCGCGGCGCGATTGGGTAATCGGAGCTTTCAGCCGGTTTGTCTGGAACACTTTACAGATTCCTCGAGGTTTAATAATTTTTACGTGTTCCATATTACGTATATATGAAATAATATTAATAATATATATATTATAAGTGTTATTACGTATATATCGAAAGATATACCATTTCAAGTAATTCAACTTGGAAGGTATTGAGTTTTGTAAAGTATTGGGCGGGTTTTTCAACAGTGCACAAAATTTTGTTTTATTTAAATTATTTTTGTTTCATTACTCTGTCACTAGATGGCAATGTTTATCGAATTTGAAAAAAACGACATTACTTGTGTGCACTCTTAATATATAATATTATCACTACTTTTTCTTACCCCTTTAATGACGTGCGTTTCTCAAAGGACTACTTATTATTATTAATTTGTTTTCTCGTCGCTTTTTATTAATTTTGTGTACAAGTATTGTATCTACGACATTTTGCAGTATAAATACAAGAGTCTGAAAATTATCTTCCATCGTTTGTCATAAGTTTACACAAAAATGTCAAAATGAAAGATAAATAATCACTTTTCGTTCATGTCTCATTTTCATTTAACCGCTTGCGCTGGCAATTGGTTCGCGGACCATAACGAGCGACCGAATCGTAGACAATAATTTCTCGCTTTCTTTTTCTTTCGAACTCGTCGGTATGACATCGCTGGATAGAAATTATCAAGAAGTAACAGACTTGTCATTTGTTTTGCCTGGGTTACTTTACTTAAATATACTTGAAAACTGAGAAAATTTGGCAATGTCATTCCAGCGCAAGAGGTTAATTCGATATGTCAAGGTGTTAGTCGATTTGGTAACACGAACATTGACCATCAAAACGAAAAGGTGTTCGAAAACTTTTCTAGCGTTGTACTTTTATGTCGGATGTGTTGGACAGTTAGGAAAACAAGTATCGATGGCGAGAGACAGAGCGAAATTCTTGAAAACGACAGACAGGCACGAACGAGGAACAACAACAGGAGGCACGCGGCGCGAGGTTACACATTTAGCAATTAACGGATAATTGGAACTCACCGCTTCGTTTGAGCAGAGAATCGTCGCGACCGTGAAGCTGGCTGCCGGGTAGCAGCGACTGGCCAGAGCCAGGGGTCGCTGCCGTTGGAATTCCCGTGGCCAGGGGATGATGAGAGGGCGTAGCGGAATACCAAGCCGGTGGCCAACCTGCAGCTTGCCCATTGAACATCCGAAGCTTATCGTACACGCTCTCGGCACCCTGATGCGCCTGCACCGCCGCAGCCTGTTGCTCCTTCTGCGAGGCCAGGTTTCTCAGCACCCTGTTGATGGACGACACCTGCCAATATTATTTTATTATTAATTTATTATTAATTTCTATTAGCAAGTCAGCAGACGTGTTAGTAACAGCTCGTAAAGAAGATCGAAAGGAGTTTGAGCTTTGTGGATTAAACGTGGTGGTAATCGTGACGATTGAGAGTTTTCGATTGTGACAAAAGTTACGTTTCTATTAGCAAATCAGCAGACGAGGGAACAGCTTATGAAAATGATCGAAAAAAGTTTGGGTTTTGTAGATTAAACTTGGTATCTTGATGATTGAGAGTTTTCGATTTCGTTAGCAAAGCAACAGTGACAAAAGTTACATTTCTATTAGCAAATCAGCAGACGAGGGAACAGCTTATGAAAATGATCGAACAAAGTTTGGGTTTTGTAGAGTAAACTTGGTATCTTGATGATTGAGAGTTTTCGATTTCGTTAGCAAAGCAACAGTGACAAAAGTTACATTTCTATTAGCAAATCAGCAGACGAGGGAACAGCTTATGAAGAAGATCGAAGAAAGTTTGAGTTTTGTAGATTAAACATGGTGTCGTGATGACTGAGTTTCTCATCTCAGCAACAAACTAACAGTGAAAAAATCTATTAGCAAATCAGCAGACGGTAGTAACAGCTCATAAAGAAGATCGAAAGAAGTTTGAGTTTTGTAAATTAAATTCGTTGCACCCTGATGATTTTTTGATTCCAGCAACAAAGCAACAGTGACAAAACTGTCAATTAGAAATTCAGTGATGAGAATTCGTTTGTCCTACGTAGTCGATCACCGGCAAAACACATACGGACGAGGTAACAGAACTGAAAAAAGGTTGGTTGACTCAAAGTTGCGTGGTTAATTGTTTTTTTTTTTTTTTTTTTAATTTACAGGAAAGCATCGTGGTTTGACGCAGGGAATTGTTCGACGAGAACCAATCGTTGCTAAAACACGAAATGTAGGTAGGAAGCAGTGACGGGTTAGTCGAGGTCGAAAGGAGTTTGTTTGTTGTAAGTTTGTCATATCGTAGAACCGATTGGTTTTTCGTTGACAAAATATAAACCCGTAGATACTCTCGGAGAATTTCGATGAAACGATCTATCGTTGCTGGATAGATGAATGCCGGAGGATCTCCATCACACGGAGAAGAAAAATCACATTGATCCAATTACAACCGCGAGTCCCGCGCGTCGCATTCGCGATGAAATCGACAATCGTCCGATCGATTACCGCGACACTGAAGCGCAACTCGCGCTTGATTGACGCTCGACGAGCGAGGAAAAGCGGCCAATGGCGCAGACTCGCTGCAGAAACAAAGAAAGAGAGAAAAAAAGAAACGGAGCAAGAGGGGGAGGAGGGAGGAGGGAGGAGAGGGGAGGGAACTTTGAAAAATTTCATCTGGTTCTTTGCTAGTCGCTCGTGACAATCATTTCCATAGTTACATCGGTTATCTCCCTTTCTCTCTCTCTCTCTCTCTCTCTTTCGCTCTTTCTCTTGCGTTCTCTTTGCCGACCTTCACGCTGAGGGAGAGACTAACAGATGAAAGGACACCGCCATCCAATTATTATTACATAAAACGGTTTCCATGGCTCTTCGCTCCCCCTAACCAGCGCGCAGCGCGGCGGTAACGCGGTCTTCTTCACCTTGTACCGCGACCGAACCACTGGCTAACTCTAAAGTTATAACGAGCCACGGGGGCGAGCCTTGTGCTCTCGACTCTCGTACATAATAGTCTCGGTGTTCTACGCGCGCTCAACCTCTCTTCCGTTTTGCGCCCCCTCCCCCCCTAACCACCGCCCACCTCGTCACTTGTACAACCTCAACCCCCAAAACATCGACTCGTCGATGGTGCAGCAAGCAGCGAGTCGAACGTAGCCCAACTCACTCTCTCTCTCTCTCTCTCTCTCTTTCTCTCTCGGCACTGCACCTCTCTCCCTGGATCCCTTGGCTTGGTTCGACGTGGATGGAGGATATCGAGCGGAGCTTCTTAATTACTAGGCTTTCGCTGAAAGGTTCGCCGAGAGAGGCAAAAAAAAAAAAAAGAAAAGAGAGAGAGAGAGAGTAAAAGCCGATTCTTCTCACGTGGTTCGACTTAAGACCTCTGCGCGAAATAATGGCTGTATGGTGTCGGGGTGCCAACGACGTTGTTGCCTCCCTCCCCCCCGAGTACTCTGCGTACGTCCTAAAGACCGCACAGGTCAAGTACGTGTACGCGTGTGTGTTAAGGGGCATGGTACGGGGCAGTTATTACGTCGAATAAAAGCCGATAAATTCAATCGAGCTTTTTGTTTGCCGCCGTCGACGAGATCGATGTGCTCGAGTGTACGCCGACAGTAGTAGACGAGCATGACCTTAAGTTTTGTAACAAGCGAAACACGCTTAACGCGCCACGATGGCAATCGAGCCCTCGAGTGACATGTAAATAACAAGCAAGTGTGTACGTGTGACGCGAAGAGGGTCGTTTAATCGATCGGAGTTAAGGGTGGATGTTGATATTGAAAGTATCGTTGCAAGTACACCGTGGGTGCTTTATACCTTCATGGGAAATTTAGCAATTTCGTCGTTTCTCGCCAGATGGGACGACGACCTGCGATTTAAAAACTAGTTGGTTTTAAAAATTAACTCGTTTAATTACGTAAGATACGATACGTTTGGAATGTACGATCAGGTAAGTCATCCATTTGTTCACAAATTGAATATTAATTATGTAGGTGCTTGTTTCGTGAAAGTGGTTCACTCTTCGCAAAAGTACTCGACATGTTGGTTTGAAATTTTTTCGCAACGCGTCAAGATATTGATTATTAATTACTACTAATAACATTTGTTGTAATTTAGCATTAAAATAAATCAATGTATTTAATGCTAAAAAATGTTGATACAAAAAAAATTGAAGACTATTCATATTAAAAAAGACTATTCATATTATAATAGACATGTTTGTATACGTATATTTTTTTTAAATTTTCATTAATTAAAACCGCATCAACCACCATATTATATGAATTACTAGGATCTTGGAACTGAATTTTACAATTTATTATAAAGGTTAGACACTGACTTAGAAAGTATATTAGCTTCAGGATTTTTTATCCTTTAGGCTGCAATTTATGGAAGAACGTATGTCCAGTTGACGTTTATTCGCGGTGTATGTATTGTCTGCACTGGATAAAAATATGTTTCACCGTTAATTGAACTTTGCACAAGTCACAAATTAGGAGATATACGTATTATATTACATAACATTTAATATTTAATTAAAGTATGCCACCGATAAAAACAATCACCCTTATGAAGAAACTGATTTAGAAACAAATGACTGCACCCTTCGCTTTTTCTGCTTTTCTTTGACGGGGCCTTTGAGAGATTGAGTGACAATATAGAGACCGAGATTGCATCATTGGCGCAAAAATGTGTTAAGAAACATATATTTAGGCTACCTAAATATAATTCCCGAATTGTGACGACGCAAGAAATATTTTTAAATATTTTTTCTCGCTTCAATGGTCCACCCTGTATAACATCGCGCAGTGACGTAATAGTTCCTTACGAAATTACACGTTTCCTTACGAATCCATCGACTCTCCATCCAGTTCGAAACGAACGGAAGTTCAACGTAATACGGAAGCAAGCCACCGCGTGTTCCTTAACCGGAATCAATCGAACGAAGGGGGAGGAGGGGTGGTAGGTAACTCGCAGGGATAGACAGCGTGGAAAGTTCGTTTCGCAAGATTCGTCTCAATCCTGCGGAATAATGGCCGCGGGAGAGAACGAGAGGAAAGGACGTTTCTAAACTAACTGCATACAGCATCGAGAGAGAACGCGCGCGCGCGAGCGAGAGGAGAGAGAGAGAGAGAGAGAGTTCGCAGAGGCAGCCAAGCTAGGCTTTCCATCATCAAACCAAGCAACCTGGCTGTTCTACGCTCCGCTCCACTCGGCTCTCGCCGCACAACAGCCGCAGCACCGATGCAGACCATTACACGCGCGACCGGACACGAATAATTGTGCAACACGCTTAACTGATCCCATTCACCCTGATTCTACCCGCTTCCATCCGCTCGTCGGCGACTAACCCCGTCGCACCCCATTGCCGCGGACGATATGTACCCACCGCAACAACCAACGGCTACCACTACCATCATCGTCATTGCTATCATTACCGTTAACGTCGTTGCCGTTCCACCAGACAATCGTCGTCGTCGTCGTCGTCGTCGTCGTCGTCGTCCTCGTCGTAGTCGACGAATTCGATCGAAGATTCCTTCGCAACGATCGACTTAACTCATCTGTTAGTTGTCCAGAGTACCGATCCCATTCCGTGAATTTCGCATCGCGCTTTCGAAATTGAACGATATCGCTCGTTGGGAAGGATATGGAGAAGTTTTAGAGATATCTTTTTTTTTTTTTTTAAAGATCGAAGACTGACGAAATGTTATTTAACTTCTTGTTAAGATGTACCGATATATAACATCTTAGTATACATCTTAACATGGTTGATCGCCGACTGCAAATCGATACTTCTTAGACGTTCTGTTGTTTTTATGCTTCATTTTTTTAGATTTTCGTTTTTTGTTCTTTTTGTCACGTTTATGGCATGCACGTGCTCCGGCGTTAGGTTAGCTATCAAATTTTATATATTTTTTCACGTCCCTCAAGTATAGACCACTTGGAGAATTTATAACGAGGCCCCTAAATTTCAGCTGGTTTTATTTTAAAATGTTCTTCAATACATTGCAAATAACTATTGCGGTGTTATATATTTTTATGCAAACAAACCTAGTCTCAAAGTAACTTCTCAAAATAATTTAACAATTCACTATACTGTTATTTGATAAATTTAATTTGTTTTATTTACAAATAATATACTATTAGGAACTCTAAATAATTATTATACCGAGAAGTACTAAGAATACCACGCAACACGTATCACCAAACTGAATAACGTTAATAAGCGTAATCGCCATAAGTTGAAAGAAGCATAGATCATCAGATGTATCAACGCAACTCGGAATAAATCTGGATGGAATCCACTCTTTCGCTACAACCAGATTAGAAAGGCTTTCATCGAACAATTCAAAAGATCGTGAAGAACCGATCGACCGATCGAGATTCTCTACGTCTGATAGATACAGCATACAATAGTCCCTCTATCGGCAAGATTCAGACAATAGACAATCCTATCATTTTGCTTCATCGATACACCTACGAAAACCAGATTGTGCGATCGTTATAATGCCAGGATTAACCTCTTGCGCCACTAACTGGTTCACGGACCATAACGAATGACCAAACTCGTACCAAATTCATCGGTATATTACTGAATAGAAATTACCAAGAAGTAATAAATTTATTATTTGTTTAATATATTAATATACATTAGGTTTAATGTATTAATGTATATTAATATATAATTAGTATATAATGTAATTAGGTAATATATTATTAGTATATAATGTAATTAGATTTAATATATTAATATATATTCTCTAGGTTAAGTTTATTATTTGCTTTTTTCAATATACTTAAAGCTGAGGAAATATTGCAATTTTGGGCCCGTCATTCCAGCGCAAAAGAAGCCGAAAGAGCGTTTCATTCTCGAACACTGTTCGCCTCAGGACAAGCATCGACAGAGGAGAACCACGAGTCTCCATGTAGACGCGCTGATTGATCACCCTCCCCCTCCAGCTAGCTGAAAACCAAGGCAAAGCTCCGCTCTCACAAAAGAATCGGCAGAAGCGAGTGGTTCCTTCACGAGCCGATGGATAACGATGGATAACTCGTACGCGTGCCATCCCCTTCGGTATTCCTGACAGACGCACACCCAGAATCGTAGGGAGAGATGGTCGAGGGAAACGCCGGTTCTTTCCTTTCCTTCGAGAGAAAAGACCTACCTCTTCCTCTCGCCGGGAAGGAAGACACGACCTTTCGAGATATTTCTCTCGTCGGACGGATCGAACGTGCGAGGAACGAGAAGAAATCGAACGGGAGGAGGGGAGGTTAGGAAATCTGTGGGTCGTTGCTTTCGAGAGAAATATTCGTTTAATAGCAATTAAATCAAACATGTATATCGAGGAATGAATTTAATGAATCTTTTCGTTAGGATGGGCCTGCGCGCGAATGTGCTGCCGCGGTACGGAGCAATCATAACGTGGACACGCTTGTTTCTAGCGAAGTTCAGTATAAACGCAACATTTTATTGGACGACTAAAATCGCCAGTAGTACACAATGACGTTGGGTAACTATAGCGAAATGATTAAAAATTATACCGTTTATACCATTTAGATGAATCCTGAAATGCCCAATTCTAATTATTAATCATTAATTACTGTTGGATAGATCTAATCTCCTTTTGTTTCTTTTCTTTTTTTTTTGTACAACACAACTAACTACACCTAGTACATTCGATGATGAATAAACTGACGGTCGCTGCTCTCTCATTTTTCAAATAACTGAAAATATAACACGCGTATATCCAGAAATTTCCAACCCATCCGTTGTAATTATAACAATTACTAATTTCAATTGAATTAAAAATATTTTCTTTGCATCGTGCGAAAGGGTTGAATGGCGTTCGCTCGGCTATCGCCAAACGACTGAATCGTGGCGAATGAAGAGAGTGGTTGGGAAACACTGTTACGCAGAATCGCGGGGAATATCGATACTCGCAAGGGTGGAAAGGATGTTTGGAAGATGGACCGAGAATTCTTAGGGAGGAAGGGGGGGGGGCAGAAACTAGTCGACTAGCAGGACCAGAGGGTGGACAATACCGAGGCCCGCGTAATGGACCGATTACCCCTCCTAACCGATCGTATTGACGAGACTTTGATTAGGGTCGAGTGGCCAGATCCGACGGGTAAGTACCGAGAGCCCGGCTGTGCGCACCACCCTGATAAACCGTCGCTACCATACAAAGCGACTGCGTGTCTAAGCGAATGAGCATCCCGTTTCTGGATCACCCCACGTGATTCGCCAAGCGTTTCGAAACGCGGCTCCTGCCCACCCCTCCTCACCACGCAGTCACTGCGCTTTTCTTCAGCCGCCGGAATTGGCAGCGGTGCACGCACCACGGTCGTTTGCTAATTGCGCGTTGGAATGAAAATGGAATGTCGAGAGGACGCATCGACGGATTGACTCTTTCTCTCGTGGAGTTTTGTCCGATGGTTTGCAGTTGTTTCAGAAAGTTTCGAGTTCCGAGAGGCCGGCCAAAGGTGAATTTTTTTCGAGATACATTTGAACGTATTGAGACTATTTTTTTTTCCTCTCTAGATTTGGCGTTGGTACAACTCCAGTGTTGTACACCTAATTGCGTTGAACAACGGTGCAGCGTCCAGTTGTGTTTTACGATAGTGCAACACACCTCCGTTGTGCTTTACTTACGCTCGGAATGTTGTCGTTGTTGCAAACACCTTCTTGTAGAAGTCGATCGCGGATCTCCCAAGCGAAGATCGACGGGCATTCCCGCTTGTAATCGGCGATTTTGTTCACGACCGGTGTGGTAGCGACGCGCGGCTTGCTACCGCCGATCGCACGTGGCTTGATCGAACCGGTCTCGTAGTACCTGAAGAAAAGCAAAGCGGTTTCTTTCTCAGTCGTTGACAGAAACTGAAGCTGAAGCAGCAAAAGCTTGGCTGTGCAACTTTATATCGTGAAATAACGAAAATATTTTTCAATTGCAACAAATAAACGTTACGACTTCAACTTGCGTTGCGTGTGTACTTATTTCAATTTTTTAATCTTTTTACGAAACGTGTATGTATAGTAAATTTTTCTATAACACATTTACCGTTTTGTTAAAGTGATCTAAGAATTATAAAAAAAAAAAAAAATATAACAATATAAATATGTTTCATGTAACATAGCAAATGTTTCGATATTCGCATGTTTCTATTAATACTGTTCAGTCTCAATTTCTATTCTCGTGCTCGCATCGTGAATTGTTTATTTATTTCAATAATTCCAATAATTCAAAAATTTATTTCAATTTATGATCAGCTTTATAATTTCATTCATTCTTTATTTTATTCCAAATGATATACCGTAAAAAATATTTATATTTAAGTATTATATAGCCAGAAGAGAAAAACGAGTAAACGTGACAAAATAGCCAGGTGAAGGTAAACAGTCGCAGGGACTGACGACATGCGAATATCGCGCAGTCAAAAGGTTAAGAATCCTTCAGGTTCTTCTGGATGAAATTGTACGATCGATCGAGCCGTGAATTTTTTGAACAAATTTTTCGTTCTGAACGTGTCACGTCAAAGAGAGTAACATACGTCGGTAACAAATGACACTGACCTGCCGAGTATCTTGGAAACGCATCCGTTGCTGACTTGCAGTATGCGCGAAATGTCGCAGGGCCTCGCGCCACTGTGGGCCAGTTCGACGATCTTCTGCCTGGTAGAGTCTGGTAATGGTCGGCCGTTGACGTAAACACCGCCAAGCTGGTTAACCCCGCTGTGTCCTGCAGCCGAGCACCCAAATATTGAGTTCTGTCCGACCATAGAACCCCCGCCAATACCCGCACCACCCCCGTGCATCAAGTCCTCCTCTGTGAATCAAAACGCGCGCAACGTGTATTCTGTCACTTAGCCAGGAGTGTCTGGTTGGATAAACACCGACCGCCCATATGTGTACCCACGCATGCACTCTCGTCGTCCACGTTCTTATTAGTCTGATTGCACGCCGTCAGTGTGTGTGTGTGTGTGCGCGCGCGTGTGCATGCGTGCGTGTGTGCGTGTGCATCGTCGTCATCATCGTTATTATCGTTATCGTCGTCGTGGACACACATGGACGGTGACGAACCGTGTGCTACTGATAATTACCATCAGTAGCGGCGCCGATGGGATTCGCGACGTAACGCGAATTACCAACGTCCCATGGATCGAACGTCAGAAATTTCCGAGTTTCCATCCGCACGATTTCAAATCCTTTCGCACGACCAACACGGCGTGTCGATCGAGAGCCTTCTCTTCCCTTTTTTTTTTTTTTTTTCAAGTAGCGTGAAGGAGCGACGAATAATTTTTAATAACACACGCTGCTCCAAGTCGAGTTTCGGAATACTCGATCGTCGTGCGAAAGGAGTTGAAATAGTATCCAATATTTGTAACTGTACTTGACGATTAAATTTCCTAGAAGAAAAAAATGTATGTAAAATCTCGATGCGAAGGGAAGCCAAGAGGAGGCAACAGTTTCTTCTGCACGTTCTTCGGAGACGGTGGAAGTCACGGTAGTCGAGGTTGCCTGGAAGACGCAGCCGAGCTGCAAAAGGTTAATTCTCGTACATGTACCATTTGCCGGGATAACGTACAACGTGTGCACGCTGTGAATAGTACGTGGTCATTACAACGGCAAGAGGGAGGAGGGAAACGCCAAATAACAGTAATTTGTTGTAAATCGCGCGACAGTTTCCGAGTTCGTCGAAACAAACATTGCGCAAGATAAACGCAAATATTATCCGCGACTTTTAATAATTACAATGGCACCGTGCTGCTCGGCTCGGATCAAAAGTAGAGCGTGAATATTAAAAATAAAAAAAAAAAGAATAAAAAACAAAAAAAAAAAAAAAAGAAGGGAAGATTGGTACTGTTAATTCTGTTACGCGACACACGGTCGGTACAATTGTAACTGTCTACAATTGCGGAGGTACAATTCCAAACACTAAAGAGTACACTGGCAATATTTGCGTTTGGTTAATCGGTGAAAATACCCGAAACCACAATTAACTCGTTTTTCGTCGACACGCGTCCGTAAAAATCAATAAACTTTTGTTAAATTTAACGAGATAAACGACTGCAAATAATCAGGCCATTCGCGCACGTACCACGCCGGTTTATCGAGATGTATTTCCAAAAATGAAATAAAATAAAATGAAATGGAATGAAATAGCGAAAAAAAATTCAAAAAAAAAAAAAAAAAGAAAAAATCACACGGAAAAAAGGCCAGTCCTCGAAGGACGGGCACGGATAAAACATCTCTTTCTTCGACTCGCGAGATGTCTTTCAATATTAAAAAAAAAAAGAGAGAGAGATAGAACAATTGGCTTTAACGCGAGGGCAACGTGGCGCAGTTAACGAGACAAACGATCGCAGTTGCAAGTATGTATGTGGCAAAAGCGATGAAAAGGAAGAAAAACAGAAAAGGGAAAACAACTGCAAAAAGAAAAAAAAAAACAAAAAAGAGGACGAGGAGAAAGAGAAACGGAGAGAGAACGGAGAAATGTGGCTCCGCTCTGCTTTGCCATTAGCAGGAACGAAACGATTCGAGCACGGAACGCCACCCTCGAAGGACGTTAACATTCCCCGCTGCTAAAGAATCTACATCGTTTTGCAGGGTAGGAAGAAACACACAACGGGGCGGACGTGTAAAGTGGGCCTTTTGCTCTTTTGTCGCCGGCCTTTCTCTAAATTTACGTGCTAACGCCGACAGCGTGCGAAGAATAAGGGCGGAACGGAGCTCGTATAGCTCGTATAGCTCGTGACTACGGGGGCACATAGGGCTGGCACGCAGGTCTGATTGTGAGCGCAGGGACTACAGACCACGGACTACAGACGACTACAGGGGTTACAGGCTAGAGCGAGGCTGTCGTTCTCGGCGCGGCGCGGCATTGCTGCTCGCGCTAAATGCATCTTGCAATTAACGAATTTAATTAATCTCTCGCTTTTGCGCCGCGCAAAACGACAAGAAATAGTTGAAACGCAATTTGAATGGTCTGCCGGTGGTGTGCTGCGGCACCGTATGAAACCACTTTGTGTGTAACGTCGCAGCCACGCCGCGCGTTTTCATCAGGGTTGTACCTAACGCGGCGCGGCACCGCGCAGCCGGCACAGCGTCACAAGAGGGCCGAAATTCCACGCGTTTCGTGCTTATTTCACGCTCAAAGTGGGCGTGTGTTTCCGCCTCTGCGACTATCCGTCACTTTTCTCCTTTCCCGCCAAATGCCCTCCGCCACTTCGCGATATTACGTGTCACCACCGAACAATCCGTAATTTTGTCGTCTTCTTCGCTCTCGGAGAATCAACGGGGGAGAAAAAAAAAGAAAAACGTTGACTTTGAAAAGGTACTCGTTCGCGGTTCTTGCGTCTTGAAACGGACGAATTAAGGAAGAATTCCGAGGCCGAAGGACACCAGCTGAGCGCGACATTCGGAAATATGTATACTGTGAAACAAATTGGGGAACGTTTAATATTTAATTGAATAAGGGGCAAGGCAAACGAGAAGCCTGCATAAACGATCAAAGCAATATATATTAGGGGCATTTTTACACGGCACTTTGGCGACAGCGTCGACAGCCACGCAAAGTCCACTCGATTATGCATGCCGCGTAAGGGAGACGATAACGACATAACGTTAAGACATTTTCCTTGATCCGATTAAAATGACGGCTATCCTTCCTTCGAAAATTCCGCTGCTCCACCCTGCGGACACACTCGATGAATATTCATACGCCGATGGCCACTCGAACGGCCACGTATGTAAATGTATATTACTTGCGAACGACACGCAGGGCTCCTTCGACGCGTGCAACGCGCCGTGAGAAAGATCTGCCGAGCGCAGATCGCAGGCCATCTTCCTTACAGATAACGCCCGTGATTGAAGATTCGTGTCTGTTGGCGGCTATCCAACCTCGCGTACGCACATAGTACTTCTTTCATTCGGTCGGAGATTATCTCTCGCGAGGAACACGTTTTACTTCATACCGACAAGATGTTGGTATAAGCCACCGCTGTTACGTGCGATCGGTACGCGCGTTAAATTGCCTTCGTCTTGCGCATGACGAATTATTTAATCGCGAACACACCGCGCGCACGGTCAAGGGATCAATTCTCTATCTAGATTTTCTAGCAACAGGAAAGAGAAGTTGCGACGATCTCAGAAATCTATACAGAAATATATACAGAGTGTCCAAAAAGATTGGGACCAAACTTAGAACAACGTGTTATTGAGGTAGAAATAGACGAAAAAAGAATCACATAAACTGATGTCCGAGAATGCTTTAATGAAAAAATACAAGCTTTCAAAGATTTATGGAGAAAATTCGTCTTACTATTCGTTGTACAGAATTGTATACGTATTACAAATTCTCAATGAGATTATTGCAAAATAATCTTCGCGATATGTTGCACGATGCCTCATTGGAAACATGCTATTAAATGTGGTTTCAATCTGATGGTGCCCCGTCACATTTTGGACGGAATGTACGTAAATTTCTCAATAGAAAAATTCCCTCAACGTTGGATCGGTCGCGGCGGACCAATCAGTTGGCCTTCTAGGTCACCTGATACTTTGGAAATGTATTCGAAATGCATTTACTATTATTTCCAATACAAATGGAATATTTGAAAGAGTTCGACAAATAGAAGCCTGCATTCTTGAACATTTCTTATAACTGTCACAACAAATTATAAATATTTTTCAAAACTTATATCTTTTCAATAAACCATTTTCAGACATAAGTTTGCATGAACTTTTTTCATCTATTTGACCTCGGTGACACGTAGTCTAAGTTTGGTTCCAATCTTTCTGGACACTCTATATATATATATATATATCTGTGTGTATTGAAAATCATGACGTAGGAAATCAAGCGAAAATCAGACTGTTCTGTCAACACGCGGTCCGTCAATCCCCTCGCCGGAGACTTCACCAACCACTCGGGGGCAGGAACCATTGTTTTTTCTTTAGAAAAAATGTGAGTCGTAAAAATAAACGGTCGGAAGGTATCAAAATCCCGACGTCGCCGCGAGAACACCCCGCGCCGTCGTCGTCATCGTCGTCGTCGTCGTCGTCTCCGCTTTGTGGGACGACGCAAACCCGCCGCTGGTTTTTCACCAGTTTTAATTCATTACAAAGAGGGTGTGACTCGGAGGACGCGTACGTATGTACATGCACGGCGAAAGAGAGAGACTCCCCAACCTCTGCCCCCTAGGCTGGAGGAACGCAAAGTAGAAGGCTGTCTCTCTCTCTTTCTACCCCTCTGGCAGCCACCACCGCTCTGCCATCCCTTCCTCTCGCCCCGTTTCGCTCTCGTCTCGCGCGAGGAGAGCGAATCGTCCGTAGCACAGCGCGCGGCACCGACGACCCGTGCACACGCCGTCCGCACACATTCTTTATATATAATTTCGCGTTAATCTACGCGACGACCAGCGCAAAAGCGAGTCATGCCGCAAAGTGAGGCAAAAAGGTTCCACTTGGCTGAGCGTGAAACGGGACACAGATTAAATCCCATCCTGCCGGCGCACGACGTCGCGGCACCCTTCCTCTTCGTCCAACCACCCTCCCTCCCCCTCCCCCTCCCTCTCACCCTCCCTACATCACTCCTCGCTCTAGCCCCGAGCCCCTCCGCCGCCGCCCTGCCATCCGTCGTCGCTCCTCTTTCGCCCCTCCCGCCCGACTCAACCGACCGACCTCCCTCTCGCCAAACAACCCCTAAACCTACCGTTCCTAACGCTACCGCCCTAGACAAGAGGGGCAGGACGAGTGAAAATTCTGCCATTTCGTTCTCTTTAAGCGCGGAGATACTTGTCCGCTGTTTAAACCGTATAAATACGG